TCACACACAGAAGAAGGCAATTGCAAACCACTTCTGGATCATCTGCCAAGAACGTATATGAACAGGTCCCAGTCCGAGAAAAGGATGGAAGGATCCTGTTCATATGGACCTGTCGTCAGACAGAACACTAATAATAAAAAAAAAAAAATATATATTTACAGAACGGAATTTGCAGAATTCATTCGAAACACTTTCCTATCAATGTTTCTGAGCTCTTAGTTATCACCATTCTGGCTGACACACAGCAGTGGACGTATTCCAAAAATCTTCCGTGTGGGTGGAGGTGCATTGGGGTACATATCAGAAGTATTCATAAAAATAACACGTGAGTACTTTAACCGATAATTTATCAAGATGGCTGTACCTGTTTCTCGCAACAGTGTTACTGGTAGTAGGAACAATAAAAGTTAGGCTAGAAGAAAGTATTGATGCAAGTACTGCTAGGTCTGGGGCTGTTTCCCCATAGGTTGTTTTATAACGCCCAAATCTTTATGGCGAGGGCTTTGTCAGTTCTGGACATTTTAACGATCTGAATCTTAGTTATGAGAAGACAAGAGCATGCGAGAACGTGTTTGCTTGTGACATGTTTCGGTTTATGTTGTTGTTGACTCTGTAAGGCGGATTTTTGGCGGAGGATTTAAGGGATTTTGATTTTATATTACTTTTTGCTGTTTTTCTTAGTGTCGCCATAGTGATGCAATACACAGTCGCTTTCTTCTGTTAGGTTCCTCCATGATGGTATTCACATGGAAAGGAAGATGAATAAGGAAAGGTAGCTGTATAAATTGGGGGAGAAGTTGATCCATTTTACGTGTTTTTTAAAAGAAAATGTCATATTTTTCCCTTTGCTTCACAGTTGGATATGGGGCAGCTTCAAATACAACGTGATTTTTAGACTGCCTAATCTCAGGGATATAAAGTTTGTTGTTTATTTAAAGACGCTGTCAGTAGCTCAGACTATATGGCGTCAAATTACGAGATTATTAATGAATAATGGTTAGGGAAGGATTGGGAAGGAAGAGGGCGTGGCCTGATTTAAAGTACTATTCCGGAATTTGTCTTTGAGGACTGAGGAAAAATACGAAAAATCTGTTATTGTAACCGGTCATCGGGTAGAGATTTGGAGCCGGAACCTATCAAATACGGAGTGCTAACCATTCGGCTGTGACATTCATATTAAGACATTGCCCGTCTCATTCTTAGCTTGATTGCCTTACGTACGGTGGATCTGAGATCTAATTTTGTTAATCATCCACTCATTAACTTTGACAAATACATTACGTAAAGTGAATCACTGGAAATAACATTGTCATCATTAACAACAAGACGTCCATCTAACTATAGTATGATTACTATATGTATCAATAAGAATTTCGGAAATATTATTTGTTCAAGTGGTGTGAAATTTATGCCTGTTCTACGTATACAAATTAAATTCGACAATTATAACGTGATAAGTCTAAAATATGTCACAAACACTTAGTATACAGGAGGCCAGTTTCAGAATTAAAATGAAATGTTAGAACATGTACAATGACGTAAAGTGAACGATAGACTCAGATAACCATTACTGAATTTCAATAAGTTATGTTTTCTGAAAATTAAATATACAGGATTAGCCGTAGAATTTTCCTGGAAGGAGCAAAGGCAGTGTTGTTTATCGGCTGACGTATGTATTCGGGTCTTGGAATAGAAAACGTGACAGGATGAAAGGCTGGTGAGTCAAGGCAAGGATTTGCCTTGCATATGTGCCGTTGCTGCTGGATCTTATTATACGACAGAAGGGAGCCTGTGAAATGCAGCGACACTCTTGTGCTATGTATACATAGCAGTTGCTAATCTTACTCACTGTTCTCCCAGGTGCGATTATTTGCTTTTGTGTATGTTGATCCTCCCTGAACGCTGTCCTCAACACGTTTTTCTTCAGTCGTCGATACCATAGACTTTCACTCAATCCCTTTTAAGTCTGGCTAAAGAAAGTTGCAGTTATTTTTTGTTCTCACCATTTATCTGTCGTCAAACCTTCCGTGTTATTTCATTAAAAGTACGATGTTTCTGATTTCCATAACAATTTTTTCGATGGTTACAATTCTTGTGATTGCTTTATCCTGCTAGATTTTTGTCCTGTTGTGATGTTGTGCCATAGTTTGTTACCCAAAAAATACATAATAATTCTCCTAAGCGCTGTCCTTACTCAAAGACATTTTAACATATTCTAACATCGTCAGAATAATCCTGTGACATACCAACCCCCCTTCTAAGCTGCTTATTGACAGGGACTTTTAGATAACAAGAGTTGCAAATTTTGTACGTTCTAAGAATTGAATTTTACAATGAAAATTGACACAGAAAGTCGTCTGTGCAGAATTCCTCTTCTTTATTACGCCGTCTCGTTTACAGGAGGTTGGCGACATATTATGAACAGGATCCCTCCATCCTTTTCTCGGACTGGGACCTGTTCATATGTTTTTAGGCAGATGATACAGAAGTGGTTTGCCATTGCCTTCTTCTGTGTGTGAATGGAGTAATTGTTGGGATGCCACGGAGAAACCGGGGAAGCCCCCGGAGGAAAACTCCGTGTTGCCTAGACCACGGCCTTGCCCAACACAAGTTATAAATTCGGGCACCGCCGGGAATCGAAGACGGGATCCCAGGATTACAAGGCCAGCGCCGTACAGAATAGCGCTGTTCATATACTTCGGACTCATCCGTTTATCTATTGACAGTGTCATTTAAAATCATGTCTCGTATTTCTCTGGTTTCTTTCAGGTCTCGGAACTGTGTAACGAAGAGGATTCTATACCAGTTGTCAAGTGTCTCCTGCAAGAGAAGATAAGAAGAGAACCCCGCTTAGGCTCGTAGCTCAGAATCTCGAATCTGGATGTGGGCCACGTCACGTGGTCACGAGATGGAAGATGGACTTCAGTTCGAAATGGGACGAGAGGAAATTGCTAATGATCTGCGTGTCTGAAATAAACATCAGGCAAAACATAACCACAAAGTCGAACGAAGCAATTACTGGAGTACTTCAATAAATGTTGTGACGTTTGACAAGACAATCCGCGTGTGTTTTAAATTGTTAAATATTTATTTGCGCATTTCATAAATCGCTGTCGTAGTTAGCATAATCGATTGTTGCGAGACTATTTCGAGGCCGGCTTTCGAGTGTGTTTTAACGGAGCTATGTTTCCAGGCGGTAACGTTCGGTAATACCGGGATTTCAGTGGCTGTGGGTCTTGTGACGTGTGCGTGCGTGTGTGTGTGTGTGTGTTCGGATGTGAAAATGATGGAACAGTTTCATAGACTGGCGTCATCAAGGCGAAGCGTCGCCATCTCTACGACAGCAATTCTTCTCCATCTTCTGTTAAGCGTCCGACTTCTTCCGAAAGCTGACGCTGTCTTGGATTACGGTGAGTAGACAGTCAACTCTTATAAATTTTATTATTTTCTTGAATGTGTAACACTATATCGAATCGCTGAGATATTTTTCAGCTAACTTGAAGTCCTTCTTGACGGCATCATCCTGTTAAATAAAACGTATAGTGCGTAATTTGAACCCAAGTATCGCCCTTATATAAGAGACTAGAGTTTTGTATTTTTCCGCTAATAATAGAATGTGTATTGAAAAATCCTGTATAGAGTTTTACGGAATAATTCAGCGCTCCAGTACTGAACGGTAATTCCCATATTATGAATAAATCCGTATCATGCAGGTCTCTGTTCTTCTTCTTATTCTTCTTCTGTGCTTTTGGCACGAAAACCTGTTGCAATGAAAATCGTCAGAAATTGCCATCATATTCGACTTAAGCGTATTAAATGTGGGTGGTAAGCGTCTGGCAAAAAAGACTTGGCTCTTTCTTTACCTTGAATTCTCTGTGGGATTAAAATTGGTTTTCATAAACGAATTGTACAAAACAGGGGAAAAAGTAATTTTCCACAATGCTAAAACTTTATAACTGGATCCTTTATTGAGTTTCAGAGCAATATGATAGGATTCAGTGGCCGGAGGTGGGGAATATACTGATTTGTGTATCGATCAGACAAGACTCTCAGTTCATGAATTCTGAAAATGAAGTTATCTAAAATGGATTTTGACAAGTCCTTCTAGCAGATGCGCGAAATTAGTTAAAGTGGCAATAGGAATGGCACTTACCATACTAAGTAAGAGCCACAGGAAACTGATGAAGGTAGAACATTAAATTCTGGAATACTGCCTTAAAATAGGACACGATCGATTCTATACATCCCTTCGCCTGTAGCAGAGTAAATGCGTGAAAGTTCAAAAATTATAACCGATAATTGCTTCTTTGTGGCATGTAAATTACCTGTAGTTTAACAAGAGTAGTACCTCCGTCTTAAAGGTCATGTCGGGTTTGTGTAATCATATTTGTTTATAATTATTTAAAAATAAAGAAGTGAAGACATTCCAGCAAACATTTTTCTAAATATTCTTTTTGTTTTATGAACTTTTAAGACTTATACTCTGTGCTTTGGTACTACGTAACAGAAGAAGTCGAAAGAGAATCGATACAAAATCTTAAGTTGCGTGTTCAAGAGACTTCTGGGTAATGTACAGCTTCTTCTAGAGAAAATGAGATTAACCTGATAAGAGTAAGAGATGAATTGATTTGATGACTCGAACTGACACATCACCGCAACTTTCCATGTGAGGTTATAAATACATTTTAACATATTACGCTTTAATTTTTGATTATTTTTTAATTGTGCGTTGAGTGTAGAGTTCTTCGTAGCAAAAATATTTTCGAGTTAGGATTGTTATTTCAGAGTATTCAAAGAGTTATAAAAAATTTAAACTAATAGAGCCAAATCCTTCGGAACCCTGTAATGTATTACGCCAATGCTGACAGATTGTAACGGGTGTTATTGTCTCCGCACAAACAACCCAAATAGTTTAAGTGAGTAATAAAGTAAAATTCAAATTTACGAAAGTGCTTACTAATGTAATGTGTAGGATCACATTCAGTACAGTCTGTTCGAAAGACCACTGCGGTCTGGACGTGGCCACGGGAGATAGAAGTTGGGTTTGCCAGCTGTCCAGCTGGTTTGTTGGGGTTGGAGTAAATACGGACTAGACCACAAAACTACTGTAACGCAGCCAAGCCTCTTTCGTCGCAGTTTCCCCGTCGGACTGGCAGCAACAGGTTGTGCCCTGCGCCGGGGATTAACGTTTTGGATGTACTTGCTGTTACTGTACACTGATCGGCTCTGCTTCGCTTTTGAATCATTTTTGGCTGCCTTGTGGCAGAGACGCTTGGTGAGCTCCGTGTGTAATCCTGTTAGATCCAGCCAACTCCAAGTATCAAAGTCCTCCTTGGGAACCAAATAGTAGACTCAGGTTGTCAAGAAATTCGCCACCCTTTTTTTGGAACCCTAAGCTTCATTACCGTATTTTTAAGAGTCATCCAGTGGTTCCTGTTCTGAGCCAGATTAATCCAGTTCTCACACTCCAATCGCACTTTCGCAAGATCAATTTTTATATTGACATCGCATGTAAACCGAGGTCTTCTTCCCGTCAGGGTTTTCAAGAAAAATTTTGTTCGCATTTCATATGCCCCTCTCACATCAGTCTCTTTGATAAAGTGTAAAAACTTTATCAACTGCAGAAGGTTCTTAGATTAGTGACGTTAGAACAAACTGTGTAACCTTTGTAGAGTAGTGTCATATTCGTAGAATTTATGGAGTGGGCTGTATCACAGACAGTTATATAGTTGACAGCTGGTCAAAATTAACGGTATACCTCATACATAATCCTGACATATTAACGTCTACAGTTATAATTGTATAGAATATATCAACTACAGAAGTCATTTAGTTGACTGCTGGTCAAAATAATTGACGTATTCCATGCATCATTCTGGCGCCTGGTGTTTGATGACGTCTGAGGCTCGCGCAATGAGTGAATAAAGTTGCTAATTGCCGAGTGGAGTACAGATCTCGCGTGATAGCGCGGACGTAAGTGTGATTCTGACGAAACTGTGTCATGTCCACGTGTAACGTAGCAGTGTGAGGTTGCGTGCATATTCATATTTTGTTTGGCGAAGAAAATGTCAAAGTGAGGGCTTCATTGTTTGTACGCTTGATAAGATATTATTAAGATGGCGAAATCAGTGAGGGTGAGATCGCTGGGTATGTAGCACGCATGGGAGAGAAGAGAATTGCGTCTAATGTTTTGGTCGGAAAAAGTTGAAAGGAAGAGATCCATTGGAAGACCCAAATGTATGTGGGATAATAATATTGAATTGGTTATTAAATAGCGTGGTACGATGTGAACTGTATTCATATACCTTATCTGTATTAAGAATGTGGTTCTAACCCCTAACAAAACATACGACGTCTCGGAAACAAATTTATGCATTTAATGATTTCATTATGAAACTCTTAAATAACGTAATCGGTATTTATTTATATTTATGTTATTTAATGTTGCAGAGGTGCTAAAATTATTGAATCTGTCATGGATTGAACATGATGTTGGTCGGGAAAACAATATATGCATACGAAAATATGAATTACTGGTTATTAAACCGATAGGATGGCCAAGGAGATCGAAGAATAATATTAAAATATGTCGTAGGGAAATAGTTATGAGGCTGTGGACTGGAATACTCCGGGATTGTTAAGACAAAAGAATAACTTTATTGTTTTATGATGAGACTATTTAGAAGGTAGTCACTCGAAGATAAGTCTTCATTAATAACTTTTTACTCGAAACGCAGTCCAGGATGCAACCCACGTCAATTTGTATAAGTTTGGACACGCCTTGTATCCATCTGTAATAACTTCAACGCTGATGGAAGAAACACAAATGCGTCAGAATATGTTTGACCCGCATTACGAGCTATAGAATCCTCGCGAAACGCAACTCGCCGAAGTAGGCTGTATCTTCAAAGACCTGAGGAGATGGAAACTTGGATCCTGTGCCAAGATTTACCTACCATCTGTTCCAACATTTGTGAAGGAGCACTTTGGAGAGAGTGACTTTATACGCTTTGAAGTCAGAGACGCACAGGATCAGAGATTGAATTGGCACGGAAGATAGTACTTAAAGGAATAAATTACATATATTATCAGTTTGTACAAGATATTTTCTCATACATAATTTATTTTATAGCATTGTAATACTACATAGCATTCAGTATCCAGAATACCCACAAAAAATTGATTATAATATTACAGTACTGCATAAATGTCTCAGAATTGTAACAGAAGTTTCGAATAATTAAATTAAGTTTGCTGTACTAGAAATAAGCTAAGTAAACGCTCGTTATATTACATTCTACACCTCTGAAAATCTACATTCTGTAGCCGTCAAAGTATGCGAATTGGTTATATATACTTAATCAAAATAACTATGGCTGTTATGTGTCTGTGACGGTGTACTGGATTATACGCTTCATAAAAATTAACGTTACCTTTTTCCAATAAAGCTCATTTTCACAATCGTGTAAATAATACGTGAACGTTTTATTACTAAAATGTTATCCATTTTAAAAGCTGGAGTGTAAATTTCTAAAATATTTAGTTTTTCTTGTGATTGTACATTTCTTGGAGAGCCTAGGTCGCGGCAGTTGCAGAGGGTACGGACCCTCGTTCTTCTGCATGGTGTGACTCCTTGTCTAGGGGTCGTTACGTCGCAACGCTTTGGCCTAAACACGACAACACAACACAAAGACGAGGAACAACTCCCATGTCTTGGGCAGGATTCGAAATCACGATCCAGGCTATCAAGACCCACGTGTTAGACATGGCGGCCACTGAGATCGGCCTAAATGTTTTGTTATTGGACTGTACTATATCTGAAACGACATGGTTACATTTCTTAATGAGATAATATTTGAATATACAGAACAATCATATTAATTTACACTAACACTTAACCTGAATCGTATGTTAGCATCAAGAAATATATAAATTTGAGAAAGAAGCTTACGAAACCTGGGTGAAAATACCTAATAATATAAAGGCTACAAAGAACATGTAGTAAAAATGGAACGGAAGATATTTTTAATTAGTTTATACATGATAAATAATACACCGTCTCTTAAAAATGACATTACTTTTAATTAAAAATAAAAGCTTCAGGAGAAGCTGTCGTGCATACTGAAACTCCTGTCTCATCCTAACGTTGTTATCTTTGCCAAGAATTCTTCATGGCCTGGACTCCTCGCGCGATATTATTTGTGGGCCGATCTGCTTCGTACGTGTCTTGAGGCTCCACTGTAAATTTATAAGGTAACCATGAGAAGACGCAGTAAAGCGAACAATTAGAAGGTTGTTTATATTACGTATGAATTGTAAGAGGTGAAATATACAGCATGAAACATGTACAAATAGGAATTACACCTTGCTAAAAATGAATATAGTAACGTGTTATTTGAATGAGCATTCT